ATACAGTCCTAATGCCTAAACTAGGGAAAGATAAAACACAGAAAAAAATAATAGACCGATGTCATTAATGGACATTGAGTCAGAAATTTTCAGCAAAAACCTGTCAAACAGACTATAGTGATTTAACCAAGAAATCATTATTATGATCAAGTCGTATTTATGCCAAGTGGTGCAGGCAAGGATGGTACAACATTAGGAAAACAACATAGTCACGTGAGAAATCAAAACATCCCAAACCACTTGATCATCTCCAGTAGATTCAGAATATGACTTTGACGAAGGACAACATTCTTTAATGCTAAATACAGTAAAAAATGTGGACATAGAGAGATCTTTTTAAAAATATGATAAAAAGCATCTATCTAAAGCCAAAAATAAGAGAGAAAAATTAAAGAAATAAAAATAAGAGGAGATAAAATATCATTCTTTGTTGATGATATGATACTTGGAAAATCCTAGAGAATTAGCAAAGATACTAATTGAGATAATAGCTTCAACAAAGCTACAAGCTACAAAATGAACTCTCAAAAACCAACATTTATATAATAATAATAAAATACAAACAATAGAAAGGGAAATCCCATTCCAAATAACTATAAAATGCATAAAGTATCTGGGAATCAACTTCCCAAAACTGCACAAAAGACTTGGTATAGATAGATTCAGTTACAAAGCATTTCTTAGACAGCAAAACCTAAATAGTTGGAGGAATGTCTAGTGTTCATGGCTAGGCTCTGGCAATATAATAAAAATGACAATGTGAACAGAAGTAATTTACATTTTTAATACAATATGAACAGAAGTAATTTACATTTTTAATACTGTAATCAAAATTAGGAGATAATTTATAGATATAACTTGAGAAAATAATAAAATCTACTTGGAAAAACAAAAAGACCCAGAATATCAAGGGAAATGATGAAAAGAAGTAGGAACAAAGGGAGAATATAACTCCCAGACCTCAAACTATATTATGAAGCAGAGAGAGAAAATAGATCAGTGGAAGACTAAACAAGGTGGATTCAGAAGCAAGAGAATTCAACATCTCAGTGTCTGGTAAGATAGAAAACTAATTATCTCAGGAAAATCCTTGATTTGATGAACTTTTGGGAAAACTGGAAAGGAGTCTATCAGAAATTGGTCTTAGACTAACAGCTTAAACTGTATTCCATCATAAACTATAAATGGATATCTGACCTTAAATAGTATACTATGAAAAAATTAGAAAAGAAATATAATATATCTCTCCCAAGTATGAGAAGGTGATGTATTTTAACCAAACAAAAAAATAGAGGCAATTAGAAAAAAATAAAATAAATAACTTTGATTACATGGAACTGAAATGATTCTGCACAATCAAAATGAATATAACTAGGAGAAGGCAAGTGGCTAAATGGGAGGAAAAATCTTTGTATCACATTTATTTAATAAGGGTTTGGTATCCAAAATATAGGGGCAGCTAGAAGGCACAATGGATGGAGCAGCAGGCCTGGAGTCAGAAGACCTGAGTTCAGATTGACTTCAGACACTTATTAGCTGTGTGACCCTGGGAAAGTCATTTAACCCTATTTGCCTTAGTTTCCTCATCTGTAAAATGAGTTGGAGAAGGAAGTGGCAAACCATTCCAGTTTCTTTGCTAAGAAAACCCCAAGATCCTGAAGATTTGACATGACTGAAACAACTGAACAACACTTTGAAGAAATATAATTTCACCATTGGATGCCCTGAAAACCACAATTTAAAAAAAAAAAGTTTGGACACTTTTAAGAACTCATAAATGAAAATTTCCCAGTAGAACCAGAGAGCAAAATAAAGATAGCCTTCACCTATTACCCCCTGAAAGGAACTTAAAAAGTCCCAGGAATATCATAGCCAAAATCCAAAGCTTTCATATCAAGGGGGAAAAATACATTCATCTTGAAAGAGGCAGTTCAAGTTCCAAGAAACAGAGATCTTAGAATACGGTATTCTAAAAGGCAAAAGAGATAAGCTGAGTGTCCTACAAGGAGAAAAAAAAATGACTCTTTAATGAAATAGAGGACTTTCAAGCTTTTCTGATGAAAAGACCAGAACTGAGAAAGAACTTTGAAATACAAACAAAATAGTCCAGAGAAACCCACAAAGGTAAATTTATTTTAGCAATTGGAATGAGATATATAATTATACAATGTTAACTATTATAATAAGGGAGAAGAGATGCATGTCCTTTTAGACATCTTAATAGGGTATTGAGAATTGAAATAAGAAAAATAATGATTTGAGGGCATGGAAGGAATAGATTGTTTTTCTTTTGAATAGTTGAAGAGTGGAAAAAGAAGGGAAGGTGAGAGAAATACATTAGTGTAGAGAGGAGGGGAAATTGCTCTTTCTCATGAGTGGGGTACATAAAAGCACACAAACATGGAAAAGAAATGAGAGGGAGTTAGCATCAGATGAACCTCACTCATCTGAAACAAAGGAGAGTTGAATGTATACATGCTTGGTTGCTATAGAAATACATTAAACTCAAGAGGGGAAACAAGCAGGGATGCGAAGGGCAGGGATATTAAAGGATGAGAATAATACCAGGAAGCCAACAGTTACAAGTAAAACAAGCTTCCTGATCCTGAAGGGGAGATTAAAGATTAAAGTGGAACGGATGAGGGAGAAAGAAGAAAAGCAAAGGTTTAGAATCTGATGGGGTTAGCTTACATTATCTCCTAGAGACAAATAGGGAGTGGCTGGACAAATTATGGTAGATGAATGAACGGAATATTATTGCATTGTAAGAAAGTTAGAGATGAGACCATAGAACCCTAGGTAATATGTTCTGATGCAGAGTAAAGTGAGCAGAACCAGAACCATTGATGAAAAATAGCAAAGAAAAACAAGTTTGAAAACCTTAAGAACTCTTGTCAGTGCAATGAGTAACTGTTTCCAGAAGACCTTTAAAGAAGCAGCTTGCTATTCCCTTCCTGACAGAGATAATGGACACAGGATAAAGAAAGAGAAGAGGCTCCTGTGAGGCTTCGTTTTGCTTGCTTACGCATGCTTATTTCTTTGATGTTGTACTATGAGTTATAGCAGTTTTGATGACGCCCCTTTTTTCTTTCCCCAAAATAAATAGGGCCACCATAACATTTTTGAAAGTGAGCAGAAGAGAACGAAAGCATAGATAAGCAGGACAGTTTTGAAAGTAACAGCTAGAATTTATTATATACTTTGTCGTTTGTTCCACTTTTCATGCGTGAGTTATCCTTTTTAACTTGCTATATAATTAGCTTACTTAAAACTATGATGCTTATTTCAATTTCCCTTTGTCTTACCTCTAATATTGCTTATTCTGGGACCATGGTATTCCAAGATGAAGAGCCATATAGCATCAAAAGAAGATCATCTGTATTAAAAATATGAATGAATAAAAATTGGAGTCATTGATGGTTATAGGCCTGGCCTAAATGACCTGAGAATCTATGTTTGAGAATAGAGATAAAGTTAAATAGAATGAGGCTAAATAATAAAGGTGTTTGAATATCAGGTTGAAGAATTTGGACCGAGTCTGATTAGAGACTAGGAAATTCACGTCTCATTTTATTTATCATTATTTCAGGAAAGATTACTATTTGATAGTTTAACCAAGACCCTCCACTTTGATTACATGTTAACAATACGTGAAATTCTTGACAGCTTGTCTTTCCCAGAAATGTAAGACCAAAATTAAATGTTATCAGTTACTTGATAGGTACTAATTACTTGTAATGAAGATTTAAATTCAGATACATGATTTGAATTGACATTAGAAATGTAAACAGGATTCACATTAATTTGTTAGTTTGGTAGCCACGTATGAGATGCCCCTAAAACTGCTCTAAGGCTTTTGAAACATTCTGTATTATGCTATTTTTGGTTCTCAACTCTAGATGGCAGTATGGTAAACTATAGTGGCCCCATTTAGTATACACTCTCTTCTGGTTGAGCTTGTATGCACACCTTCACTCCCTCCTTACCCTCCAAATACTTCCAGCCATCACTGGGTCTGTGGTTATTAAGAGACATTCTGGAATAATGGCTTGATTACTAGTTTTACAATCATAAGTCCTCTATTCAAATCCAGGCTTAGTTACTACTCACATGGCCTTAGGCATGTTACTTCTCTGGGACTCTTTTTGATCTTTAAATGAAAATATTAGGCTAGAATATTTCTAAGGCCTCCTTAATCTCTAAATCATATTCTATAGTATCATATTAGAATCATTCCACAGTGTTTATTCATAGATGATTTAGTGAGTGGTAAAGGAAGAAGATGGGATTTATGGGTCAAGTTTGGAAGGGAATGTGACTTGTGCAGCTGGTGCCTAAAAATGTTTCTTCCTATTCCCCAGCCAGCCAGCTTTCTTTAGATACCTGTCCCTGACTTTGTTACCAAGTGCTCTTTCACTCTTTTATCTTTGCTGAGATTAGTCTCTGGATAACAATGAAGTCATTTTATCCTAACCTCCTACCTACAGGAAACCTTCTGGTCCTTGTGTCATTTGGCCACATCACATGCGGTACAAACTGTATTCCCTGCCAGAAGCACAGAGTCTGATTTGGAAGTGACCTTAGAAGTTACTCATCTACCCCCTAAATAGGAGTCCATTTCTCTCATTTCAGCCCCCGATATTCCCAACAAGTGGTCATCTAACCTCTGCTTGAAGACCTACAAAGATAGGCTGTCTCACCACAGGCTCTCTCACCATATCCTAAACTCATTCCATTCCATTTTGGGACAGCTCTAAATATTAGGAAGTTTTTCCTTATAACAAGCCAGAAATCTGCCCCTCTGTAGCTTTTCCTCCTTCGTTCTTCATTTTGCTCTCTGGGTGATAAGCCAGACAAGTCTAATCCCTCTTCCTACAGTGAACAGTGTGGAGCTGACTGCAGAGCTTTTTTGGTAGCATGATTTGATGTAGTACTTACATATTTGCCCCTCATCTTTTCATATCCCCTTGATCCCACTTTGACTTTGTCCCTCTTTGTAGCATTGAATGAGATGGAAGAAGTGCCTCAGGAAGATGGAGAGAGTAGAAATGAAGGCCCAGCTCATGGCCAGGCTGTTCTTCCCATGGAGGTTGATGAAGAACAAGCAGGTAATCTGGAGTCTCTCCCTCCCTTATTGTTAGTCCCTGACAAATAGATCTTAGTTACCGTTGATGACAGTGAAATGTTGCTATGAGTGACCACTCATTCTCTTGGCCTGTAGCCACTGAATGTATAACTGCTATGGTCTTTTCAAACTGAAACCTGTTGCTGCCTTTCTGTTTTAAAATTTTCCCAGTTTAAAATGAATGGCCTCCATTTCTCTTCCCTTCCCATGTTGACTGTTGTCGTAATGGGTCTTCAGATATCTTGTTAAATTTGATTAAATGTTTAAATGTCTCGTTGAAATGTTTTTGGTGACTGTGGTGTAGTAGAAAGATCATTGGGTTTGTAATTGGGAGACCTGGGTTTAAATTGATGTTTTGCTGCCTACGAGATGTGGTGCCTTGGGCAAGTATTTTATCCTTTCTGAGCCTCAGTCTTCTCATTTATGAAATGGGAACATAATCTTGCCCTACCTACCTTGCAGAATTGTTATGAGGAAAGATATTATTTGTAGACCATAAAACTATATAAATGTGCTGTTGTTAATAACAAGGATAATAATTTTAATAATAATACCTTTTTGTTCTGTTCTCCAACACGCCTACCAAATATTGGAACCTGTACAAGTTTAGCAGTCTTTCCATTACACCATGCTGCCTGTTAAACCTTTTGGCTAAAATACTGGTAAACAGATGCCAAGCAGTTCCTTGATTCATGACACTAAACCTATAACTAGAAAACAGCCTTTCTTAGACCATCTTCCTTGTACCATGCTTAACTACTTGCTTTTTCTTTTAGGACCCAGTGGTCTTCAGCCCGCTGCAAAAGCAACACCAATTACTGTTCACGATTCAGACAGCGAAGATGAGGAAGAAAATATGGGAGCCCCTGGAAACTGCATTGCTAAGAACAGTTCTCAGAACTTTTCTGACAAAGAAGACAAAATCAGAGAGCCTGTAGAATCCAGGCAGCTGCCAGGTGAATGGCCAGCTCCTATATTTGTATTATTGTTCATATTAGGAAATTTGGCCTGAACGAATCTCTAGCTAATATTTGTTGTCTTCCACTAAAATCTTCTTTTGACACTTTATGGTTAAAGCTGTACCAGCAGGCCATAAGCTCTGATAAGTGCTAGTGAGCTAAAACTATGGTTTATAAAATTTAGACAACTAGAACACACTATAAAACTGTGATTAAAAACCAGATAGCCTGACACCCTTCCACCTCCTCACACATTAACCCTCCCATCCATGTTAGAGTCTCACATTCTTGTCACCTATTCATTCAGCAAATATTTATCACGTGACTGATGTGTGCAAGGCACTAGGAGAGATACCAAGTTTAAATAAAGCCTAATTCCTGTCTTCATGGATCTGGCACTCTCATGGGAGGATCAGACATAGTTCTAAATAACAAAGTGCTATGTTAGGTTGGAAGATTAAGCTTATTTCTGATCAGAGAAATCAAAATGCTTCCCAGAGGATTTTTTTTAATTGGCCATTTAAAGATAGACTGTGCCTTCAGCAGATGGTGAAGGTAAGGGGGTATATTCTAGGAATAGGAATATGTGAGCAAGTCATGGAGGCAAAAGGGTTCCTGGCACATTTGGGGAGCAGAGTGACAGAGAGGGGGATCTGCTATGATCAGCTTGGGTGCAGTGTGGAGAGGATGAAATCCAACCTCAGATAGGGCTGGAAAGATAGACCAGCTCCAGATTGTGGAGGGCTATGCCTGTGTCAGGCAGAGGAATCTGCCCTTTATCTAGTCGGTGGTAAGAAGCCAGTGAAGATTTTTGAGTGGAGAAATGTCATGAGTAGATGTTGCATAAAAAAAAAATAATTCTGATAGGAAGGATGAGTTGGGGGAGAGGAGTGGATGAGGTAGGGGTGGAAGAGGCAAAAAGACCTATTAGGTAGCAAATATAATACTAATGAAGGGAAGGGGAAGTGAGTAAGCATTTATCTAGAGCCTACCATTTGCCAGGCAGTGAGCATAAACATTTTATAAATATAATCTCATTTAAACCTTATAACAACCCTTCAAGGTAGGTGCTCTTATTATCCCCATTTTGCATTTGAGGAAACTGAGGCAAATAGGTTAAGTGTCTGAGGTCATATTTGAACTTAGGTCTTCCTGACTCCAGACCCAGAACTCTGTGCACTATGGCACTGCCTAGCTGTCTCCTAATGAGAGACTGAGCTAGGATTGTGTCAGTGTGATTAGAGAGGAAGGAGCCAGAGTAGACAGTATACATTAAAGAGGAGTCCCTTTTTGTTATGAGTGGTGTTCAAAATCCTAACTGAACATTTCTTTTTCTTCTGTCATCAGTGAGTGGAAAAGGCAAGACGCCACTTCGAAAGAGATGCAGCTCCTCCCATCAGATGGGCCAGTTGAAGTCATCTTCCATTGAGGAAAATAGCTGTGAGAAAGGCTGCCAGGTCACAAGTGAACAGATCAAAGCAGATATGAAAGCAGCCAGCGACATGCCTGAGAAGAAGAAAAGCAAAGATGTGTATCCCAGTTGTGGCAACAGCCCAGGCTGTGTGGGCAACTCCCCCTCATGCAACGCTGCTCCTCAAAGCCCTGACTTTGTAAGGACCGTGACTGGCAACTCTGGTGAGCCCAGCACCCCAGCCCCAGACCCATCCCAGCCATGTGTCTGCTCTCCTTGTAAGACTGAGGGGTCAGGGGCCGGTGATAGAGAAAACTCAGTCTCCTCCCAGTGCTCCTGCAGTAGGTCTCAGGGACCACAAAGCAGAACTAGCAGATGTTCTGATGAGGAACGACCTTCCACCAGCAGAGCCTGTGTTGTAAATGGTCCCAATGGCATAGGATCAGACTTCTCCTTTAGGACTCTCCCACATGGTGGGTCTCGAAGCCCAGCCAATGATGAGAGGACTAATGGGAATGTCTATGGGGCCACAGGGGATGACAGGAGAGGAAGCTCCCAGTCTGAGAATTTTGAAATGGAGTATAATGAAGACTACCCTCGAAGACCTCTAACAAGAGCCAGGAGCAAACTCTCCCATGTACCACTGGTATCTGAGTCAGGTATGGTTCTGTTCCCAGCGTCTGCTGCAGACTCGGTAAAGGTTATCATCTCATTCATTAGCTTCATAAGTTTTCTAGCATCTGGCACGAGACACTTTGGCAGATGAAACTTGATTCTCTCATATTTTGAGGTGTAAGGATCTGGGATTATGTGAAGATTGTGGTGTAGTCAGAGAGCCTGAGTGCAAATCCCAACCCTATTATTACCTCTGGGACCCTTGACAGTCACTTTTCTTCTTTGGTCCTCAGTTTTCTTTTCTTTAAATGAAAGGATTAGGGAAAATTATTTCTGACGATCCCTTGTAATTCAAGAAGCCTTGGATCTTGTGATAAAATAGGTAATAGTTCTCAGAAAGTATTTGCAGTTCTGTTGACATAAAGAACTTAAATAATTAAAAGTTAAACTTTGAAGAAAGATCTTATTCAAGCTCATCATGGGCACAAGTACCTGGGCATTAGCCTAGGAAAAAATCTATTTCAGCAGATATTTATCAAATTCATACTGGGTATAGAGCCCTGAAGCAGACCTCAGGGCTGCATCTTCTAATTTAAAAAAAAAATTTTTTTTCATCACCTGCTGCCCTAAATGCCCATGGAGGTACAAAGTTGAACTGTCACATCATCCCTGATTTCATGGATCTCAGTCTTTTAAGGAGACTGTAACAGGAATATGGATAACTATAATGCTTAGTCAATAGTAAATGTGTTAGAGAAATCTAAGGTGCTGCATGAAATTCAGGGATCATGGCAAGCGAGGGGGATGGAAGGGGATAGGAGTGGAGAGAGGAGGGGAGGGGAGAAAAGAGACTGGAAAAGAGAAGTCATTACCAACATAGAGGGCTTCCTGAAGGTCAGGTGGCTTTGATAGGAATTTAGGTGAAGAGAAGAAAGGAAAGGTATTCAAGACATTAGTAAATGGCATAATAGAAGGTCATGGTTGGAGGAAAGGAGTGTAGTATATATGGAGTGAGGTAATACAGTATGAAGAAGGAATAGGGTCAGGGTAGGCTTTGAATACCAGGCTTGAAACACTACATTGTTCAAACTGGGGAGACATTGAAGGGTTGTGAGTAGAGGTTGAACAAGATCAGATCTGTTCGTTAAAGATTATTTTTTGCAGTGGTATTCAGAATGTTGAAAAACAGAGAAATTGTATGCCCTTCATTCCCCCCCCCCCCGCCAGTACTTATGTGCTCTTCTTACCCTATCCCCTATAGCCCATAGTCCCTTTTTGGGGGCCTAAAAAAGATGAGAGCATCCACATACCAATACTCTTTCTCCATGCATGTTGTATGTTTGCTGATGTTATAACTTCTGATTTACTAAGTTATGGGTGCCATGGTAGGTGATGGACTAGCGGTTAAATTTTTATTTTCTACAGTAATAGTGATTCCTATTTCCATAACCCTTTACAGCTATGACATGTTTCCTACATATTATCTCATTTAGTGCTCATTAAAAATAACCTGGGAGAGACAGGTCAAGAATTTCTATTCCTACCTTGAAGGAGAGGAAACATGGGCTTAGAGTAGTTTAAATGACTAAATGGCAAAGCAAGGACTGGAATCCAGGTCTAAAATCTCGAGCTTTTCCTACTGTACTGTTGTCGTGATGGAAATAATACAGTATGATGTCAGCCGTAAGGGGGACTTACTAACTTATATGTAATTCAAGGCCCAGGAGCTGTGACCTTTTGAATCACTAATACCTGTCAGATGAAAGCACGTTTGAATTTAAGCACCGATATCTACCTTGTCAGTGTTTTTTTGATTTATGGTTCTAATCAAGGCATTCCATATATCACGATCCTTTACAGTGGGATTATAAACAGGTGCCTAATTGAATAATGAGCATGCTAATTATTCTTGACTGTAGCATATACTTTTTTTATGTGCATGTTAAAATATATTGTTTTCATCTAGGGACCTTGAAATTCCTAACATCAATTCAGCATATGCCATTGCTTTGAAAATAAATTATTTTGTATATATTATTAGTATTGTTATTAATAATTTTTCACATTTCTGAAGTACTTTAAGGTTTACAAAGTAATTTTTATTATAGAAGACCATTAATATAGATGCTGAAGTATTATATATATTTTACAAGTGAGGAAACTGAGGTTTAGAGAGGTTAAATGGTTTGCCCACAGTCACACAGCTAGCAAATGATGACAGACCTCAAGCCCCAGATTTTCTGGCTGTAAATCCAGTACTCTAATATGCTTCAATGACTGATTGTGCATTCAAGTTTGTTTCTGATGTGTATTAATGTTAATAAAACAACTTTCTCTTTCCTCCTTTCCTATGATTGTCTGCATTTTCAAGTAAATAATTAATGGAAAAAGACAGCCCTACTTCTGTGGTTTGACCTGTCCCATGTCTCTTTCACTAGTCACAGTAAAAATTAAACTATTTTCTGGGGTCAGATATTACAGTAGTTTATTTGCATAGCACTTTAAAGTTCTCAGAGCAGCTAATAGGTATTGACTCTTGTTTTTAAGGAGAAAGAACTCCTAAAGCATTCTTAATACTTTAAAATGCTATAGAAGTAACCATTTGCACCCATGACTACATAGGCAGCATAGCTTTAAATTTATGGATAACTCATAAGGGAAAGAGCTTTGGATTTGGTCAGAAGATATAGATTAGAGTCCCAGCCTTCACTACTTAGAAGCTTTATAATCTTAACTAAATCATTTAAACGTATGAACTTGTTCCTTAATCTTTAAATTGGGAGTAACTTATTTTTATTATTTGGGAGAAGAAGCATGGTGTACTGTAGTTGAAGAATTTCTCTAGAGTGGAATCAGAAGACTTGAGTTGAAATTCCACAATTCTGTTTACTAGCTTGATGACCTTGGTCAGATCCTTTTTGTTCTTCTGCCAGGCAAGAGGGTTGGACTTTATAAGTTGTCTTCTAGCTCTAACACAGTGTCATTCTCTAGCATTAGCTCTGTAACCTTTAAAACAAGTTAGGACCTTATTTGCTGATCAGTTTTGCAAGGCTTTTCAGAGCAGAAATCTAAATTAATCGAGGAATGAACTTTTTCTAGTTACAGTATAGGCGTCTGTGTTCTTTTTGCACTTGATCCCCCAGTGAAAAGCAGAAATCTTTGTAGTTGTTTTAGGCCTTCTAAAATGTTAAATCTGTTCTAATCTTGTGGTGGTTTTGCTTTGTGAAAAATTAAAGTGTTCTTACGCATGACAGGGTCATTGGTTCCACTGTGTCATGTTTTCTTAAAAAAAAAAAACCCAGTTGTCCTTGAAACAGGAAGATTGGCAAAGACATGCCATTAATAGTAAATAAGCTTCTTATTAGAGGGGAAATCACACGGGGTATAGAGACAGCTTGGTGGCATAGTGTACAGTGTTGGACTTGGAGTCAGAAATACTTGAGTTCAAATCCACCCTCAGATTACTTACAAGCTGTGTGTTCCTGGGCAAGTCACCTGACCTTTCAGCCACTGTTTTCTTCTCAGTCTGTAAAATGAGGATAATCATAGTGTCTCCTTCACAATGTTGTTTAAACTCAAATGAGGTTAAAACACTAAATGCTAGCTATCATTTAGTACAACATGAAACCACCAAAAGTTGCCTCCATAGAAGAATAATTCAAGAATTTGAAGGAGGGAAAAAGTAAGGATTAATAACTTGTTTTACTTTTGTCTTATGTCTTGAAAAATACCCATTGTTTCAGACAGATTAATTTGGACTAATGAATGTGATTTTTTTTCCTGGTGGAGCTTGACACATAGAGCATCAACAAGAAGTGAAGGCCACTTAAATTTCGGAAATAAAAACAAAATCATCTGGCAGTGCGAATCAGTGACTTAGCTACATTGTAAAAGCCAAGAACATCCCAGACTCCCATTCCTTTATATAATAAAAGCATCTGTTTTCTGTGGTTGGGAGGTGGGAAGAATCCTACTTATGCAGAATATAAGCCTTGCTCCACCTTTATACACCTTACCGTTTATTTACGATTCCACAGGGCGAATATAGATGAATTTCTTCTAAGAGGCCTCGGTTCCAATAGAAATCCTAAAGCTGGTACAGTATGATTACCATAAGCCCGAGTAGTCACTTGCTCATCTGAAGACTTTTGTCTTTGACCTCTGAAGACCCAAAATCATTGACGTTGTTGGTCTCTTTGTTAGAGTACTGACACTTAAGAAATTAGTATTGGAAAGTTTTTGTGCCAACCTTGGCTATTCCTTAAGTGGTTGTTGTAGTAGTGGTTGGAGTAGGGACCTTTAAGGTCCCTTCCAAAGATAAGATTGTAACATGCCGTTTTTCTTTAAAGCAGGAATGGGGAACCATGTTTCAGTTGAAGATCATATATACATACACACATACACACATACACATACACATACACATACACACACAGCAATCCAGTTTGCACTATTTAGTGAAATGTAAAATATCAACATGAAACTTTTAAAATTAAGAACAATATAAAATGTTTTAATAAATATTTTTAAGTACTTCAGTTAAGTACTTCAGTTGGCTATACTATAGAATTGGAATATTCTTTGTTAAGGAGAGAGATAAAAGAAGACAGAAGGATAATAAAAAATGAGACATCTAGAAACCAAGTCATAGGAAGAATAACTGAAGAAGCTGGAGTATTTGGACTAAAGACATGAATTCTAAAAATACACATAAGCCCTTGGCTTCAAATACAAGAAAAAAGTGTTTTCATAACTAAAGCAGTGCAACAGTGGAATGATAGACCTCAAGAGGTATTGTGTTCCCGTGTCAGCTAAAAATTGATTAACAGCTTATAAAATAACTCCCATGCCTATATCACTTTACAACATGATTTTCCCTCAAGGACTTTGAGAGGAGGTATTGCAATTATTATCATCTCCATGAGGATTCTGAGACTCAGAGAAGTGAGTGACTTGCACCAAAGTTATATAACCAGGATGTGGCAGAAGAAGGACTTGGACTTCTGATGTAGAGTTCAGAACTTTTTCCCCTGGGCCAGGAGTT